GGGAGCGCCGCCGCGCTTCCCAAGTGGCGCACTGTAGCAGTGCGCCACCGGGCCAGCCCTTGCCTTTTAATTTTGATCCTTTGTCTATTTTTTTTCTTTTTTACAGAATTTTCCATTTTGATGTCACATTTAGTGATAGTTTACTCTTCAGAACTACTTTTTAAGTTGAAAACAGGAAACTTAAGTCTCTTTATTAAGCACAACAAATCATAACAATATATTTCAATTCTAAATCACGGTAACTCAAGGAAAAGCTCTAGCTATAATTGCTATGTTTGCCCTGAGAAACAAAATTCTAGCTCCCATATTATTATTCAAGACATGTCCTTATGCTTTTTTTTCTCTTTACAAAAGGAATATATGTTTATTGTAGAAAATTTGGAAAATACAGCAAAATGAAGAGAATAAAAATCACTCATCCACTCTCCCATTGGTATTTATAATACAGTATATCATTCCATAGTATGCTACTTTAAAAAAGGAAATCGGTCAATAAATAACAGTTGATTAGAAAGTAGAACCAGTAAACATCTTATTTTTCCATGAAAATTGTTTTAATATTTTAAAATTTTGTTTTAAAAAACATTTTACCTAATATTTGGAAGCACATATACTGTTGAAATTATCATTTATTTAAAGTTCAATGGTGAAAGTTCTTAATTTATTTCTGAGAATGTGAGAAAGCATTGCATCTTATAATATAAAGAAGGGAGACTCTTTACTTCTCTGTGTAAGTCCAGCCGCTGAGGGAATTGTCAGTAAAGCATGTTCAAGCCACTTGAAAATGTATCAGGGGGGCTTGTGCCAAGGGCTGAGTGACCTTGAATACCGGTAGCTTTCTCCTGGAGGCATGGCAGCTCTTGTGTGGAATTTTGGAATTTTATAGATGCAAGGGACCTTGGAGGGAAAGTATAATTGTTCTTACAATGCTCTTCCTAGTTCTTTTTTGATGCTCTTCCCAAGAAGCCAGCAGTGAGATGTCCCTGAGATTTGTGACTTCTGGGCCAGATGGTGGGTGGTCCCTTCCTTCCTGCCTGCCTAGTCTTTCCGCCTTTCTCTTCCTCATGTCCCCTCCTGGCTTTCAGATCAGGGTCCAGGTGATCGAGGGACGCCAGCTGCCGGGGGTGAACATCAAGCCTGTGGTTAAGGTCACCGCTGCTGGGCAGACCAAGCGGACGCGGATTCACAAGGGAAACAGCCCACTCTTCAATGAGGTGCGAGGCTCTGGGCATTGGAGCTAGCACCGTGGCGGGCCCTCCTAACTGGGAGCCCAAAGCAGACACCTGGAGATTCATCCAAGAATCCAAGAGCTCTTACATATGGCGTTGACTTTGGGTTGAGAGATGTGCCAGGTTCTGAGTATTTGGAGAAAGCGCTCCGGCCATTATTTCTGCCTTGGGCTCCTGCTTGTCATCCTGTAGGGCCAACCAGCCACCCATCCCTGAGATGACAACCTGTGAGGTCAGGGGTGGAACACCCGAGAGCTTGTCCAATACCCAGAGCTCAACACTGGGCTGAGCTCGGTGTACATTCTCTGTGTGGACTAAACTCCCAGGCCTGAAGGCTGGTGGGTGGTGGGTGGTGGCCGACCCTCTCCCCAGCCTGAGGGTTCAGCAGGCCCTGATTTGTCTCCCTTTTGCTCTGGACCAACAGACTCTTTTCTTCAACGTGTTCGACTCTCCCATGGAGCTGTTCGATGAGCCCATCTTCATCACGGTATGTCTCAGCAATCAAAGTACTCTCTACATGTTCCACGTGTACATGTGTACACGTCAGTGTGCACGTGTGTATGTGTGCCTGTCACTACATGCATGTATATGTGTGTCAGTGCGTATGTGAGTGTGAATGTGCGTGTGTGTGTGTGAGAGAGGCAAAGCCTAGCACACGGATGAGGTACAGCAATGCAGTCAAGCTCTGCTGGTCACAGAAATGCTATGGCAGCTCACCTGAGAGGCTCGACATCCCCAGTGCCTCAGGCCAGGGTCCTTAAGCCACGTCTCAGTGGACATTTTAGTTTTCATCTTATTGGTCCATGCTTCTGGATAAGATGTTCTTTCTCTGGGCCCCATCTCCACCCCCCCCACCTCCCCCTGAAAGGCAGTGTAGCCTAATGGTTAGAAGTGTGTGTGCTCTGCAGCTAGGTTGTCTGGATTCCAGTCCTGGCCATGCCATTCAGGGGCTATGTAATTCTGTACAAGTCTTGTCGTCTGTTTGTGGCTCTATTTCTTCGTCTGTAAAACAGGGATAATGATAGTGCCTGTGCACTGGGTTCTTGGAAGGTTCGACATTGCTTAGAATGATCTCTGGAATAGAGTGTCAGGTGTTGGCTGCTATTATTTGAGAGGGAAGAGCTGTTGAATTGGACCTTGTCTGGGTCACACTTTCACTTGTAAATGTAAGTTTTAAATAATGTTTCTCTCCAGGTGGTAGACTCCCGGTCCCTCAGGACAGATGCTCTCATTGGGGAGTTCCAGGTAATTGATTATTTTCTGTGCAAGCGGTCAGTTCTCCCGTCTCCTGGTCAGTGCAGACTGTGTGGGTTGTGTGCACAGGCTGGCATTCCAGAGCTTCTGTGTGTCTTGGTCTGTGTTGGGAAAATATACTTTCAAAAAAACCTCCCAACTCCCCACAAAATCTCCCAACCCAGAAAACATCTCCATAAAGGCAATAGAGAAATAAAACAATTTTCTCATTGAATAGGCATTAAACCCGAATGTGATGCACATCACGGGCAATCCACTAAGAGATTTTAAAGACAGAAAGAAATCTCACCTTTTTTTTTTTTTCCTTTTTGTCTTTTTTTTTTTCCTTTTTGTCTTTTTTCGTGTCCGGCAATGGATCGCAACCCT